TTTCTCTCTCTCTCCCTTTACCTCTCTCTGAAATCAATACATAAAAACAAATTTAAAGAGAAGATCATTGGCTGCTTAATGGGACTGTTTTGGAGGGGGCAGGACAAAAGCAACTTAGCAGGAAACAGGTTAATGCAAGAAATTACTGTGATATGGAGCAGGGGAAAAGGTGAGGTCAGGGGCATTTTTGAGATGGTATTGACAGAACTTTGGACGGATTGCATGTAGAAGGCAAAGAAAAAAACAGAATTCAGAGAGACACCCCAGTTTTGGACTTGAGCAACCAGATGGATGGCGGTGCCATTTCCTGGGTTGAAGAAGACTGTGGATGGAACAGATGTGGGTGGAACAGACTGTGGGAAGAACAGAAGTGTGTTATTGCAGACACTGTAGGTGGGGATGCCTGTGAGCTCCACACATGGAATGGCCCAATAGCCCAGGGCTCAAAGGAGAAGTTCATCATATTCCTGTAACAGTATTCACAGTCATAGGCAAGATACCATCCAGACCCAGACTAGATCTTGAGAAACTTTAGGAAGAGGGACAAGCAAAGTGAGTTGAGAAGGAACAGCCAGAGAGGCGGGAGGGAAACCATGGATGTGCCGTCCTGGAGGCTGAGCGAACGGAGAGTTCCAGAGGGGGCTGCGGCCAGCTGGGTTGAATGCTTCTGGGAGGCTGAGGGAGGTGAAGACAGAAATGTGTTCGGCAGACTTGGCAACAGGGAGGGTGCTAGTGACTTGTTTCAGTTGAGTTGGGGGAACGGGAGCCAGGTTGGAATGGAGTGGGGAGCGAATGAAAAGTAAGGAAGTAAAGACAGCTGGTGTAGATACTTTCCAAGAAGTTGGTTTGTGAAGAGGAACAGAAAAATAGGGCAATAGATGAAGGGAGGTGTGAGGTCAGGAGGGTGGTTTTTGTCACGGCCGCCATTATTTTGAAGAGGGGAGAGGCTGATGGTGGTAGAGAGAAGACAGCTGGAGAGTGAAGTCCTCAGGAAGGGATGATGGGTGGGGGCCTGAGCCCAAGGGGAAGCCTGGCCTTTGGATGGAGGAAGAAGTGGGGAGGTGGTAAAGAGGGCTGTGTCCCCTGGGCAGTGCGTGATGGCCCCTGGGCTCTCTGTGAAGACTGGAGGCAGAGCCAGCAGCTGGGAGCGCTGTGGGAGGAGTGCGGGAGGTTCGAGGAAAGAACACAAGGCATGAAGTCGTTGTTCCCCAAAAGTGGAAAAGCAAGGCTACCAGAGAAACTGGCACTTTCAGGGCAGGATGGGGGCAAACCTGGAGTCTGTATGTAGGTGTGAAGTCAGCGTGAAGCCAGCCAGGTGTTGCCTTTGCTCCAGCGACATGCAGTCCCCCAGGGGCTGACTCAGGACAGCAGCACTGGGACTGGCGGGCTGGGTTTCCCCCGGTGAGTGGGATGGGAGGAGAGGAGGCTGGATTCGAGGGTGTTTTCTAGGGCAGGATTATGATGATGGCTCATGAAACAGAGGGTGGGTGAGAAGGGAAGCAGAGTCGGAGGTGCTGATGGCAGGGGAGACAGTGCAGGGTCGGAGGGCTGAGGGCTGGAAGGAGCCCAAGGATTATAGCAGCCAGAGCCAGGGCTGAGCTCAAAGGTAGGAAGTGGGGGCGGGAGAGTGCTGGAAGAGGCCATGTCAGGGGAGATACAGCTTCTAGTTACAATTTAGGTTCAGGGTGTGCTTAAAAGAGAAAGGGGCCAAGGGAAAGTGTTGTTGTAACTCATTCATTCTTTTGACAAACTTGTACTGAACATTAGGTACACTGCTGGCACAAACGATTGGTCCTCTCAGCCAAGGGTGCCCAGGGAGGGCTTCCTGGAAGCGGTGTTTTTTGTGTAGGTTAAGTCTGGAAGGACAAATTCAAGCTTTCCAGGGAAACAAAAAAGAGGAGTACTCTAGGAGGCAAGCAGACCATAAGCAAAGGCACAAGTAGGATGGGAAATACTGGGTTGGCCAAAAAGTCCATTGTTTATCCCATAAAATAAAAAACACATTTTTCATTTTCACCAATAACTTTATTGACTTAGATATTTTGAGTATGTCGGCTGTCTCCCACTGTTGGCTTCTAGTGGGCAGAGGCCAGGGACAGTGGGCAGACGCTGCTAATCGTCTTCCAATGCACAAGCCCCACAGCAAAGAATTATTCGGCCAACATGTCAATAGCACCAAGAAACTGCACAAACCACTTTTGACACATTCGATCAGTCACAGCACCTTCTCTACACATTGCACAAATCTTTTTTTGCATTTCAGTCACATTTTTACCTTTCTTGAAATAATAAAGCACAATATGCCAAAATGTTGCTTTTCTTCCATTTTCAATATTAAAATGATTGCACAAAAATTTACCAGTTTTGATAAGTTTTTTTTTAATGCACGCTGATATGGCAGCTGTCACAATACGATCGAACAAAATTGTTTCATCTGAAGTTAAAGACAACTGAGAACTACTAGAGCCATCATGTGGGAAAAAAACAAACAAACTTTTTGGCCAACCCAATAGCTTGGGCCATTGGTATAAATGGAGGTAACATGGCCAGAGAACGGGAGGGGGTTGGTGGCAAGGTAGGGATCCAAACGTAGAAGGCCTCAGGAAGGCCACGTGGAGGAGACTGGACGCGCACTGAAGCAGTGGGAAGCCAGCGAAGGATTAATCGCGGGGAGTGACAAGATCAGAGGTGTGATTTTAGAAGTGTGGATGGTGGGTTCGAGGGGAGCCCAGCGGTAGGTAGGGAGACCTGTGGGAGGTTGTTTGAGCAGAGCAGGTGAGGGGTGTTGAGGTAGCAACAGGAGGGAGCAGCAGCAGGGCGTGGGGACTGGCCAGGTTTACAGTACCAGGGTGCTTCCAGCCACCAACCAAAACTGTGCCTTCAGCTGGCCTGGCCAAGGAGGACACTCCCCCTCATGTAACAAGACATCCAGAGGTGAAGTGGCTTTAGGGTTGGTGGAGGGAATAGGAGGAGAGGAATTTAGGTGGAGTGCAAGTTTTGAAGGGAAAGATAGAGTCTGTTTGGGGCCCGCTGGGGGACAGGAGGAGGAGATGTCAGGCTGGCAGTGCCACCTGTGGGTCTGTGCCAATGTGCCAGGCACCAGATTCCGTGGTGACCCCAAACCCAGCCCACCAGGAGTGTGGTGGGGGGGACAGACGCCAACAGCCAACCACAGCAGGAGGCATGAAGTACCGTTGACCTGACAGCTGTGCAGGCTGCAGCTCACATGGAAGGGAACAGTGGCTTGACAGGTGTGGGGCCACCAGGGAGGCGGGAACAGATGTGGCAGAGATCACAGAAAGGAGGTGGCACAGAGGGGGATGTGGGGGGTGGGAGGTGGGTGCTGTGACCAGGGGCTGCAGACCCAGCCCTGGAGAAGCAGCATCTTCCAGGAGCAGGGAGGAGGAGCCCGCAGAGCAGAGGGGGCGTGGCCAGAGGGGCAGCTGAGAAGCAACCACTGGGGCTGTCCACTGGGAGCCTCTGGTGACTCTGGTGAGTGTAGTGTTGAGTGCTGGGGCCGAGCCAGTCGACTCTGGTCGTCTGTAGTGCCACTTGGGCTCACCAAAGGACTGTGGCCAAGTGGGACCTGTGAACTGGGGGGGGTGCCCAGCAGCCACGGGGTCCTTCCAGGGTCACCTGCCAGGTCAGCGTCTTCTGTGTGGGCATGTATGTGGGATAGGCGATGGCAGTGAATGCGGGAAGGTGTGTGCTAAGTGGCAGGGCACAAACTATGGGTACTGTGTGGGGGGTGGTTTCAGGCTGGGTGTGTGTGTGTGTAAACGTGTGCTCATGCACACGCACTCCCACGCACACCGTGGGGCCAAGGAGCAGCTGGGGGACAGGGTCAGCAGGAATGAGCAGAGTCATCCCTGTGGAAACACGACTCCCCGTGATGATAGTAGGGAGCAGCTGGGCAGCCAGGCCGGGGGTGTGGCCAGCTTTGCCCAATGGCTCTGGCTACTCCCTGGGCTGCCCTCCCACCTGTTGACCAAGCGTGAGGAAGTGCCCGCACTGGCTGGTACAGAGACCCTGCGGGGTATGTGGGCGCACTGGGAAAAGGCTGCCACCCCCCTGCATAGCTCTGGGTGGCTCTGGGAGGGCTCTGTCTCTGGGGACCCTTGGGTCTCCCTGTGCCTGCCTGCTGATGTGGATTATCCCCCAGGGTATGGGAGAGAAGTGACCCACTACCTCCCTTCCACAGGGAACAGGTTCAGGATGGCTGGGCAGGGGCCAGCAGAGGCCAAGGGACTGGCCCAGGAGACACAGTCCACACAGTGCTCACAGGCTTCTAAAGCTCCTGGTGGGTGCCCCTTCATCCACCAGTTCATCCAGGGACCACTAGCCGAAAACAGTCCCTGGGAGCTCCAGCCCTGCCCACACCATTGAAACTGTCCATCTCCTTTTGCCCACGGCCTTTCATGTGTGTCCTCCTTTCCCATGTCAGCACCTGCAGCCCCCCCGAACCCCCCCCCACACCCCTTGCATCTTCCTGCTCCATCTCCCCTGCATGCCCTGGGTTGGATCCCACAGGTCCCCTGGGAGGGAGCTGGTGGGACCCTCTGCAGGACCTAGATCCCTTCCTTCTTCCCTCTTGCAGCCAAACATCAAACTTCCTCAAAGCTCAGGACAGGATACTCTGCATCCCCACATCTTTCCCTTTCTCCAGGCCAGGGACGGCAAACACAGGCACACATGCCACATTCTCCTGCCGCATGCCTCTGGCAGACATAACTAATCAATCACATCAGTCTCTTTGCACAGAGTCTGGCCACAATGTCGATGGTCTCTGCCCACCTCTCTGGGCAGCCAATAGCAGCCAAGCCAAACCAGCCCTCCAGGTGAAATCCATCTGCCATTCCTGCTTAAAGCTGATCCCACCAGGACCTCAGCCCATTCTCTGCGCCCACCAGCATGTTTCACATCTGACTCCTTTCCTCCTCACGTTGGGGCAGAGGCCACATGGGCATACTAGCCTGTTGTGATTCTCTCTTTCCTTGCAGGCTGAAGCTACACTGTGCCCAGAGCTTGGGCCAAGGAGGCATTTGAGGGCACTGGGCAGTTGACCCCGAGCCCCCAAGGCCGAAGAGGATCTGGTTGGTTTGCCATCAGTTCTGAGGGCAGCCAGCCCCCTGCAGGGGAGAATGTGGTGCAGGGCTCAGGGGTGATGCTCAGGGGTGTCTGGTACCTGCACAGCAGCAGCATCCAGGCCTCACAGGCACACCTCACAATCCCAGCAGAGCCTGCGTGCCCCTCTCCCCAGCCTGGCCCGTGGGCGGGGTGGCCACCCAGCACTTGGGGGCTGCACATTACAGCTGCCCCGGTTGCCCACCACCCTCCTGGCTCCTGAGCCCAGGATGCAAGGATGGCCCGCCGGTCTCTGCCCACTGTGGTGCCTCTGGGCCCCCAGAGCCTGCGCCCCTTCACCCTGGAGTCCCTGGCAGCCATAGAACAGCGGGTGGTGGAGGAGGAGGCCAGGCAGCAGAGGAACAAACAGATGGAGATCGAGGAGCCTGAACGGAAGCCACGAAGTGACCTGGAGGCTGGCAAGAGCCTGCCCCTTATCTATGGGGACCCCCCGCCGGAGGTTATCGGCATCCCCTTGGAGGACCTGGACCCCTACTACAGTGACAAGAAGGTCCGGGCTTGGTAGGGTGTCCTCCACCTGTCTGTCCACCATCCATCCGTCTGCCTGTCCTCAGGCCTCATAGCTCTCTCCCTGCCTCAGACCTTCATCGTGCTCAACAAGGGCAAGTCCATCTTCCGCTTCTCCGCCACGCCCGCGCTCTACCTGCTGAGCCCCTTCAACATCGTCAGACGTGGCGCCATCAAGGTGCTCATCCACTCATATCCTGCCCGAGTGGGGCACACGCAGGGGTGGGGAGTGGTGGGGTGGGGGTAGGGCTAAGCAAAACGGGGGGTTCTGGGTGAGAAGGCCCTCTGTCTGCCCCCTCCCCACCTGCTTCCTCATTTTCCTTGACCCCCCAACGCTGTTCAGCATGTTCATCATGATCACCATATTGACCAACTGTGTGTTCATGACCATGAACGAGCCGCCTCCCTGGTCCAAGAACGTGGAGTAAGTCTCTTTCCCGCCCCGCCCCCAACCTTCCCCACCCCCGCCCCCGCGGGCCTGGCACACAGACCATCCCAGGTTCTGCACTCTGAGGACTGCGACCCAGGGAGACATGTACCGTCGCTGTCACCATCGGCACCTTAAGCCCCAGGGTGGCACACATCGTCGCTCTCACCCATGTCCTCAGCCCCGGAGTGGCATATTTCATTTCTGCTCCCCTCCCTCCTGGGAGGTCCCTCATCGCCACCCATGCCCCTGCCCAGGTATGACACGCCTGGGCCTGGCTGGCCCTCTCCCCGCCAGGTACACCTTCACAGGGATCTACACCTTTGAATCCCTCATCAAGATGCTGGCCCGAGGCTTCTGCATCGACGACTTCACATTCCTCCGGGACCCCTGGAACTGGCTGGACTTCTGCGTCATTGTGATGGCGTGAGCAGGGGCCCAGGGTGTCCTGAGGCCGAGGCTGAGGGAAGGGGGGGGTGAGGTCCAGGCCTCGGGCTGACCCTCTCAGAGGGCTGGACTGCAGGGGCCTCGGGTTAGGGGTGCTGACAGAGAGCTGTATGCACAACTCCAAGAGCCACCATCCCCAGGGTCTGGCTTGGGGGGCTCTCCTGCTGCCCCCCCCCCACATGCCGTGTCCAACCAACCACATGCAGCACCCTGAGCCCAGTTCCGCGGGCCCTCACCCACTGGGAGAGCTGGGCTACCCCCACTCCCCAGCAGTCTTTCCCAACTCGAGGGCCCTGATGGGAAATGCAGGCTGTCGACCTGCCCCCCAGCCCCCTGTGGGAGCCCCAGCTGCAAGGATTCCTGATTTCTACCCTCTCTCCAAGTCCCAGCTCTGACACAGCCCTCACCCCAAACTGCCCCCCCCCAACCAGGTACGTGACGGAGTTTGTGGACTTGGGCAACATCTCAGCCCTGAGAACCTTCCGGGTGCTGCGGGCCCTGAAAACCATCACAGTCATCCCAGGTACTGGGCATGTGCGGGGACCCTGCACCCCGGTCCACAGGCCTCCCCGCATGCCCAGGCCCCGAACCCGATACTCAAGTTCAGGGAGTCGAGAGGACTCACAGGCTGCGTGTGTAAGACCCAGCAAAGCCGGGACACAGGGGCTCCCACGGCCAGAGAGGAGAAGGAGCCCCAGACTGGAGGGTGGGCATTTGAGAGGCAGCATAGCAAGGCGGTTAGAGCACAGACTCTGGAGCCAGACGGCCCGTGTTCGGTTCTGACGTCCAACACTTCCTAACTTTGACCTCGGGCAAGCGGCTTCAGCCGTCTGTGCCTCAGTATCTGTAAAATGTGAATAATAATAGTGCCGGGCACTGAGTTGTTATGAGGACTAAATGCTTTAATGTCGGTCGATAAGGTACTGAGAACACTGCCTGGAGCTCAGTGTGCGTGTTATTAAATAAAACGAGCAGAGGGGCAGAGCAGCGCCCTCCAGCTGAGACGAAGCGGCCAGCCAGTGCTGGGAAGTCCCGGCCGAGGCTCCACAGGGAGCACGCTGCTCACCCCCGAGCCACGGGCCCGGGCGGTTGCACAGTAATGCATCAGGAAGCAGGAAATAAATAGAATCCAGATCATCCAGACCCTCAAAAAAGCATGCCGAGAAACTGGAGAAGGTTCATTGAACAAGAGAAAGATGATCTGAAAAGAGGTGGAGAACAGGCTCTGGGAGGAGGGGAAATTGTTCAGTCTTGATGCTGGAAAGTGCCTGAGTTCTCCCTTAAATCAAACCCTTCATCCTGTAGTTTGGGAAGGAGGCCCCAGGACACCCCAATAGGCGAAGTGCTGACTGGAGGTCACCCGTTGGCCACTGAGCCAAGGCTGCAACACCTTTCCTCGATGCCACGCTCCCAGCATCCTCAGAGCGTGGGGAAGGAGGGTTTAATAAGAGAGCTGCTGAGCATCTCTTGTCTATGCCAGGATGAGAAGAATTAAACAAATAGTGAAGTGAGAGACACTATACTTAGGCCCAAAGGAAGAAGCTGTGGCTCTTCCGTAAATGATAGGAACTGGTCCCTGGAATTCCAGAGGGTTGTTTATGCCTTTGTCCACCCAAAGAGGCAGAATGCAATGATAGCGCAACGTCAGTCTAGAGCGTCCCAGATGAAACCCACTGTTCCTTGCGGGTTAATAGGCATTATAAGGAGAGAGGTTCTGTGGCCAAATAAGTTCAGGAAACATGCTACGAGCGTTGTTGTTTGGTTCTGCAGGATTTGTCAGAGCCTTTGATCAGAGGATTTGCACAATGACTCTCCAGGAGCAAAATATACTGCTTAGCCTTCCCCAGTTGTTGAATCTCCTCCCCGCCCCCTCCACTTTCTAAGGGCACTGCTTGGGAGACTGGGGTTCCATAGAACACACTTTGGGAATGCTGACCTCCTGAAGTCTTCACAGTCCCTTCTAGTGACTCAGACTCCAGCCATTCAGAGGATCCTGATTAAGGGTGTGATCAGAGTAGGGTGGGGCTAATTTGGGAAGGCTTCAGGGAAATGGTGCCCCTAGTAAGTCACGTGTTGCTGAGAGGGAGTAGGTCAAGTCTGGGGGAGAGAAGGGAGTGAGTTACCACCCTGCCCTTCCTGCTCCCCATGACCCATACTCTTCCCCACCCTCCGGTCAGGGCTGAAGACGATTGTGGGGGCCCTGATCCAGTCGGTGAAAAAGCTGTCGGACGTGATGATCCTCACCGTCTTCTGCCTGAGCGTCTTTGCCCTGGTGGGGCTGCAGCTCTTCATGGGAAACCTGCGACAGAAGTGTGTGCGCTGGCCCCCACCCTTCAACGACACCAACACCACGTGGTACGGCAATGACACGTGGTACAATGACACGGGGTACGGCAATGACTCGTGGTATGGCAATGGCACCTGGAACAGCCAGGAGAGTGGGGCCAGCAACTACACCTTTGACTGGGACGCTTACATCAGTGATGAAGGTGAGAATGGAGGCTGGAGGGCCAGTGGGGCCAGTCCTGGCCCCGAGGTCTGCCCCCCCGAGAGACAAATAGCACGGGGCAGACCTAAGCTTAAACCCATCACTTACCACTTGGATAAACTTCTGACAAGTCAGTTGATCTCCCTGACTCTCAGAATCCTCGTCGGTAAAACTGAGGTGACAACGCCTTTCTCAAAGGGTTAATGTGACAACAAATGCCAAATTACTTTGAAAATCCTGGAGGTTCCACTATAAAAAGCAGTAGTCCAGATTCCCTACTCCTAACTTACGCGGTCCCTGGGAGGGCCTCCCCCAGGCACCCACACACCCACGTCCTGTTCACATCCGCCTCGCAGGCACACACACAGGGGCACACGCCCTCACACGGCCGCTACTCAGTGCCATCTGGCCAATTAGAAAAAAGGTAACCCTTCTCCACCCTGGTGCCCTGGAGTGTAGCCTCCCCCGGCCTCCAGCCTCAGCCCTCAGTCGGGGGCACTGTGAGGGGACTCGCTTACCCCACGCACGCACGTATGCATTCTTCCCGCCTCTGTGCCCTGGCTGTACTCTGACTGTGCAACCACACTCGGCGCTGAGCTGGCACCGCTGGGAGCTGAGCTCCCTGCAGTGTGTCCCGCCAGCGACCTGAGGACTTGGGGCTGCCCATAAAGGAGGGGAGGGGTAGCCAGGGAGTTTCTATTTAGTGTGGTCCACACAGATGTGTCCACAGGTGTGCAGGGGGTACATGTGCCCACAGTGTGTCCATGTGGTGACATGTGTCCTTTGTGGCCTTTGACTCCCAAAGGGAACTACTACTTCCTGGAGGGTGCTCTCGATGCCCTACTCTGTGGGAACAGCAGTGATGCCGGGTGAGAGATGCTGGGCCATGGGAAGAGGTGCCCTGGGGTGTTGGAAAATGTGGGCTGATCAGGGCCAAGGACCTGGGTGGATGGGAGTGTGAAAGAAACCTATGGGCCTGGATGGAACACTCTCCTGTTTGGGGGACAAACAGGACTGAAGGATTTTTTCCCTCGGGGCTCCTGTACACCCCACCTTGGGGCTCTATCCCTCCCTAAAAGCAGCCCCCATTCTATCCCCAGGCATTGCCCCGAGGGTTACGAGTGCATGAAGGCTGGGCGGAACCCCAACTATGGCTACACCAGCTATGACACCTTCAGTTGGGCCTTCCTGGCTCTATTCCGCCTCATGACACAGGACTATTGGGAGAACCTCTTCCAGCTGGTACAGCTGCCCCCACCCTGCTCTTTAGCCTGATTATCACCTCCTTTCATTCCCGCAGCCTCTTCCTCACCTGGCGGGTCCCCCAGCAGGGCTGTCTCATCTGTGGCATCCCCTCGGGGGCCCTACATACAGAATCTGAGAGCCCACCCACACCGGGTGCCTGCCCAGATCCAAGCCACAGCCTCTTCTGCTTTCTCCACCTTTGCTGAGACCTGGGCCTGGCACAGACCCCCAGTCCTCATAGCAACTGGTAGGGCAGCTTACACTCCACCCAGACACAGTTATTTAGCTTCTCTCTTTGCAGAACAGGCAGGTTGAGTCTGGAGCAACAGTGCCTTCTGGTCACTGGGGGTGTTTCTAACACTGATAATATTAATGAATACAGCACCACTACCTGTTGAGCTGTTACTAGATGCCAGGCACCATTGCCAAGCTAAGATGCAAGCTGACCCCAGAGCCCACGTTCACCATTTTTCACCCTGGCTCTCTGATCCCAAGATGTCTGGCTGGGGCCCTCAGGGTGCTCTGAGCCAGGAGACCAGGGAAGTCCGGGTCCCAGGTGTACATTTGGAAGCTCCCCAGAATGTGGTTTAGCCTGCCAAGGATGACCGTGCCCTGCCTCAAACCACCAGGTTCTGCGAGGGACCCCTTCTGTTTACCTATCTGGGCCGTGGGTGGGTGTGTGGAGCGGGGCGGTGGGTGAGAGCAGGCGGGCGCTGTGTGATGCCTCCTGTCCTGCCCCCGCCCCCAGACCCTTCGAGCGGCTGGCAAGACCTACATGATCTTCTTCGTGGTCATCATCTTCCTGGGCTCCTTTTACCTCATCAACCTGATCCTGGCGGTGGTGGCCATGGCTTATGCCGAGCAGAACGAGGCCACCCTAGCTGAGGATCAGGAGAGAGAAGAGGAGTTTCAGCAGATGCTGGAGAAAATCAAAAAACATCAGGAGGAACTGGAAAAGGTCTGGACTCAGAGAGAGGAGGCTGAGGACCCAGGGGTCTCCCCGCCCCTCAGCCTGGGTTCTCCTGGGCAGGCTGAGGGTGAGGGAGAGCCCGAGGCAGGGGCAGCAGAGGCCCCAGGCTAGGGGCTTTGGTTGGATGGGAGGCATCCAAGCAGTAGAAAGAGCATTTCACAGCTCCGTGCCTCATTTTCCCCCTACTATGTGTAACAAGGAAACTGCAGTAGTTAAAACAGAAATAGGCTTCCAGCTCAAATGATTTTGTGATTCTTTCTGGGCGAATATGGGTCCATGTCAAGAGAGGGGCGGGGCCTGGTGAGGCCGCAGGTAGTGGTGCCCACTCTCTCATCATCTCAAGAAGCACAGGCTCAGTCAAGGCTTCAGAGAGTAGAGGGTCTTCCAGGATGAGGGTCCTCAGTCACTCTGGACCACCACTGAGGTTTCCCCCCGACCCCCATCTGCACTAGGCTCAGTGCAGGCCAAGAAAAGGGGGCCCCATCCTAAAGGGTTCGTGAGGAAGCTCTGAAAGTCAGTTAGTCCAACTTCCTGGCTCACAAGTGGTCTGCATGTCCATCACTCTGCTGGTGCACAGGCCAAGGCTGCCCAGGCGCTGGAAGATGGGGAGCCAGACGGTGACCCAGCCCATGGCAAAGACTGCAATGGCAGCCTGGACACTTCACCGGGGGAGAAGGGGCCCCCAAGGCAGAGCTGCAGTGCAGAAAGCGGCATCTCGGATGCTATGGAGGGTGAGTGCCCCTTACCCATCCTGTTTTGTGTGCTCTGCCCGTCAGGCCACTGGCTCCTGGGGAGGTGCGGGTGGGGCTGGCTGGGCCCAGCTTCAGGGCCCATTAAGGATGGTAACTTAATATTGGCATCGAAGAAATGGCCATGATAAATATAGATCTGGCTTAACCTGCCCCAGTTCTGGCTGTAAGGCCAGGCTGCTAGGGGAACTAGGGGCTTCCGGGAGGGCTTTGGGGGCTGCCAAGGCAACGGAGGACAGGATAATAATACTAACCAGAAGGCCCAATGTTCCGGAAACTGGAGATCTTATACCGCAAATGTCTTCTGGGTAAAAGTTAAAGGCCAAAGGTCAGACTGTGCAGGAAGAGTCACAGGCTCCCTCAAATCCCCATGCTGCTCCCCAAGTCTCAGGAGGAGAATAAGGATGAGGAAGTGAAGAGAGGGTAGACACATATACAGATCTTTGAATAGATGATGGATGGGTGGGAGGGTGGGTGGTAGATGGATGGTGGATGGATGGATGGATGGATGGATGATGGATGGATGGATGATGGATGGATGGATGGATGATGGGTGGATGGATGGATGGGCTGAAAGACTAGTGAATGTGAAGAAACATGAGTATATGGGTAGATGAGAGGGAGGGAGGGAAGGGAAGAGAGAGGGAGGGAGAGAAGGAAGGAAGAAAATCTCTCAGAGAAGAGGTGTGGTCCCCTCCCCACTTGCCTGGAGGACTTGGAGGTCCTAGAGGACTTGGCAGACCCCTAGAGGGCACCATCTCACCTGACCTTGTATGACAGGCATCCAGGTATCCATATGCCCTGCCAGAGAATGCCCCAGGGAATGCTGGGCAGAGCTGGCTGAGGAGATCACTCAGCATTGCTCTTACTGGGATGGTTGTGAGAAGTTTTGGCCATAGCACCTGCAGTAGCACCTGCAGTAGCACCCAGGTTGGGGGTGGGATGCAGGGGTTACGGTCAGACTATAATGTGCAGCCTTTGAAAGCAGCCCGCTTTCCTCCTCTATTGGATGGGAAGCACTAACGGCACGTACCTTATGCACTTCTGGTGGGAGTTAAATGAGATCATGCCTAGACTGAGGACTCCCGCAGGCCTGCAGGAGGAGCAGCTTCATCCATGGGCCTTACAGAGCCCCAGGGCTTTAGAGTTGGGGTGGCAAGAACAGGGTGATATTTCCAGAAAGCCACTCTGGTGGGAAAAGGTGGAATGGTTGGGGACAGCCTGGAGGGGCCCACATTACTGCCAAATTGAGAAAGAGCCCACAAGAGGATCCACCCTGCTCCTCAGTGGCATTGGCCAGCAGCAGGTGTAACTGGGACCTAACCTCCAGCTGTGACCTCCCACCATCCCCAGGGCCACTGACAAGGGTGAAGGTCACTGGGTGGTGGGGCTTTGCGGGGTGTGTCAAGAAGGGGAGGCTTGAAATAGCTCACTGCAAGAAGGGCTGTGGGGTAAGCGTGGCTAAGGGGCAGGTCTTTGGGAGGTAAGGTCTAGAGGGGCGGGTCTGAGGGTGACGTGCTGAGAGGTGGGGCTTGGAGTGGGCAGCACAGATGGGTGGGGGCTGAAATGTGGCAATCTAAGGGGCAGGGCTTCGAAGGGGTCCCAAAGACCTAGGTGGGTGGAGGTAGAACCTAAGAGGGGTATCCTCATCACGTGTCTGCTTCCACCCTATCCCCAGAGCTAGAAGAGGCCCACCAGAAGTGCCCACCGTGGTGGTACAAGTGCTCCCACAAATTGCTCATATGGAACTGCTGTGCTCCATGGGTGAAGTTCAAGAACATCATCCACCTGATTGTCATGGACCCCTTCGTGGACCTGGGCATCACCATCTGTATCGTGCTCAACACCCTCTTCATGGCCATGGAACATTATCCCATGACGGAGTACTTCGACCACGTGCTCAGTACGGGCAACCTGGTAGGGAAGGGACAAGGGAGAGGACACAGGGCCCAAGGAGGCCCTCTGGGCGGTGTGGAAATATGGGGCACTGTTGGGGAGCATATGAGGACAAGCTGGAGTTATTTTCCCAGCACATGGCGGGGACACGAGTTGATATACAAGGGAGGTACGTGGGGTGATCCATGGGATGGGGTGCTTGGGTGTCAGGATAGTTGAGGGCAGAGAGACCAGGGGTGAGGTGCTGGAATCCTTAAGATTGGACCCTAGGCGATCTGGAATCCCACGGTCCATGCCCTGGATGCAGAGATGCAGGAGTCGGGGCATGGAGGTGAGGCGGGGCCTGGACGACAAGTCTCTCCATTTTTAAAGGTTGTCATGGGCCTAAGCGGGACTAAGGGACCTGGAAGGGGGCCATATAGTCAAGGGCACCCAGGCCCAAGAAGTCTCAGCTCACCCTGGAGGCCCCAGGGCGTTGCCCTCCAACCCTCAGCCTGCTAGGTTTCTCCCAGAGGGCGGGGAGGGTGTGGCCGGCCTGCTCCCCGCTTCAGCCCTGCCTGCCCCACTATTGTTGACACACACTGATCCGCCTGCTTATCCCTGCCCATTAGGAGCATTATCACCTCATTGCCAGCCCCGGTGGAGCCTGACAAAGGGACAAAGCCGCCTCCTCCAGCCCCACCCTTCCCAATTCCCTTCACATTTTTCCAGTATAGCAAACGGGCGGGCGAGGTGCTCTCCTGTCCCTGAGGGTCAGGGGCGCCTAGGGAGAGTAAGATTTGAGGCCTGGGGCAGGACGAGGGCTGGGTGGGTAGTAAAGGAACCAGACCCTGGACCCCCGGCCTGTGAGGCAGGCAGGCCTGCTCCGCAGAGATGCCCGAGGCAGCCACGGCCAGGCCAGGCTGGAGGGGCCTGGGCGTGCCCTGGACATGGCGCAGCTGCTGGGGTGTACGTGATGGGGCCGGCCCACCGCCTGCCCACCCTCGACCACATTCTGCCCGCTGCCTGGGCACCTGCTATGGCTAGGGACAGCTCCTGGGCGGGGCTCAGCATGTGCCAGGGCAAGCTGTGGCCCCGGGGCAGCTGGTGCCCAGCAGGAGGGGGGCCATCTCCAGGAAGCTTTCAGGGACTCCGCAGCCCTCAGACTCCATATGGAGGCCTGGGGTGGGGTCGGGGGTGGGGCGCAGCTCTGACCTTCTCATTATTCCTGACTTTGCCCCCTCTTGGCCCCTGCCCTAGACTTCCAAGGCCACCAAGGTTTGCTGGGTCCAGGGACCCCTGCTAGTGGGGGTAGAGAGGCTGTAGGGTGTGGAAGGCTGCATCAGGCAGGTTTGAGACCTGCCTCATTCCCATATGAGCAGCATGGCCCAGCGCGTTCCGCTGACCTCTCTGAGCCTCACTTTCCTTTTCTGAGAATCCCTTCCAACTATATAGAAACCGGCCCACTACTGAGGTTGTATGGGAACCACAAAGTGCTCTGTGAGTGTTAAATATTATCATGAGTGGGGTGAGACCCCAAGAAATTAAGGGCTGGCCCACAGTCACGTGGCCAGAAACGGAAGGGCCCAGGTCTCTGGGTAGCCCCCACCTGCCCTGTGGGACGGCCATCCCACCCCCCACTCACCTGCACTAGCGTGGGCCGGGGCACCACTACCCGCCCCCTCAGGGTCCCAGCCCCCACAGGCTCTGCCCTGGGCATCGGGTAGGGGCCCCGTGTTCCCTGAGGCTCCGTGACAGGGACTGCACCGTGCCCCCAGGTCTTCACGGGCATCTTCACAGCAGAGATGGTGCTGAAGCTCATCGCCATGGACCCCTACGAGTACTTCCAGCAGGGCTGGAACATCTTCGACAGCATCATCGTCACCCTCAGCCTGGTGGAGCTGGGCCTGGCCAACGTGCAGGGGCTGTCGGTGCTCCGCTCCTTCCGTCTGGTGCGTGGCCCGGGGCCAGGGCTGGGGGGAGCGGGGGCGGGGGGGGGGCACTTTCTCACTGAAAACGGGGAGAGAGGGAGCCCTCTCCCTGACCGCACGGGGTTGCTAGGGGACCAAAGCGATGCCCCGGGAGCTCGACCCCTCAGTGGACGAGGGTGGCCGTGGGGCAGGGGGCGGGCCTGCAGCCCACCTGAGAGCCGAGGCTCGGGAAGCTCCGAGCAGTGGAGCCGGAACTCTGAGTGTGTGTCCTTTCCTCCGCCCCACAGGAGCACTTCTATTTCTTTGTTTGAAGTTTATTATAGGACCTTTCATGCACCCACAAAAACATAAAGCATAATACACCTCTGTGTACCTGTCACCCAGCTTCAACAGCCATCAATTGTCTATTGTTCTTGCTCCCCCTGCCCCCCCACTTCTTGTGGGGGGAGCACGTCAAAGCAAATCCCGCATTTACTTCACTTGTAAATGCTTTATCTGTATCTTTAACAGGTAAGGACTTCTTTTTCCTCTCCAACACAGGAGGAGTATGAGGTGGTAGGGTATGAATGCTCCCGTTTCGCAGAGAGGCGAATGGAGGCCTGGGACCACTCAGGGGACGGGAAATCACGTTGTTCGAGAGGATTCTGTCTCCTAAGGTGGGGCTGCCTGGGGTCGGGCCGGGATCCCTGGGCCTCACGCGCCCCTGCCCCCCTCCCACCCGGCAGCTGCGGGTCTTCAAGCTGGCCAAGTCCTGGCCCACGCTGAACATGCTCATCAAGATCATCGGCAATTCCGTGGGGGCGCTGGGCAACCTGACGCTGGTGCTGGCCATCATCGTGTTCATCTTCGCCGTGGTGGGCATGCAGCTGTTCGGCAAGAGCTACAAGGAATGCGTGTGCAAGATCTCCTCCGACTGCAGCCTGCCGCGCTGGCACATGTACGACTTCTTCCACTCCTTCCTCATCGTCTTCCGCATCCTCTGCGGGGAGTGGATCGAGACCATGTGGGACTGCATGGAGGTGGCCGGCCAGCCCATGTGCCTCACCGTCTTCCTCATGGTCATGGTCATCGGCAACCTGGTGGTGAGTGAGGCTGGCTGGGTGGCTCCCCCGCCCTTGCCCAGGAAATCCACGCGTCCAGGACGTGGCCCGTGCCTTTATTTCTCTGTTTCCTTTACATCGGGCTGTTATTCGAGGGCCCTTTCCCTATGAAATTGAATTGTATGAAATGATCGGTGCATGCCCCTCTCACCCCTCAAAACAGCAGTTTTTTCTTTTTATTTTATTTTTCAATTATAGTTTATATTCAGTATTATTTTATATTAGTCTCAGGCATACAGCACAGCAGTCACATAAGCATTCACTTTACAAAGTGTCCCCCCGATGTTTCCGTTAACTGCCTGGCACCGCACACGCTCGTCGCAGTGTCACCACCAACTGTGTCCCCTGCGCTGCGCGTCGCACCCCGAGACTGTTCTGTGACCGCCAGGTCGCACTTAACGCCCCCCCCCCCCACCTCCTCCACCCAGTCAGTCCCCAGGCCCCTCCCTCCGGCGGCCGTCAGTCTGTCCTCCGTGTGCGAGTCTGTCTCACTGTTGTTTGTTTGTCTTATTCTTTAGATTCCACATGTAAGTGGAATCATGCAGTATTTGTCTTTCTCTGGCTGATTTATTTCACTTAGCATAATATCCTCTAGCTCCATCCGTGCTGCTGCAAATGGTCATGTTTTATTTCTTACGCTGACTAACATCCCATTGTATATGCCGGGTGGGACAAAAGTGGGTTTACAGCTTTTCATATGGAAAACAATACAGTGATTTACAAATAATGGAACAAGAACACACTCCGTTTTCCACACTCACGACTGGAACCCACTTCTGCCCCGCCCTGTATGGACCAACACTCTCCGTCTGCCTGCCGGGTGCTGGACGCTGTGGTCGCTTCCATAGCTTAGTGATTGTCCGTAATGCTGCGGTGAACACAGGGGTGCTTATGTTCTTCCAAATTAGTGTTTGGGCTTCTTCAGATACACACACAGAAGCAGAATTGCTGGGTCATAAGGCAGTTCCATCTTTAATTTTTTAAGGCCCCTATATTTCACAGCGGCTGCACCACTCTGCATTCCCACCAACAGTGTACGAGGGTCCCTTTCCCTCCACGAAGCAGAAGCATCGGTGTTTGTGTATTTATTGACGACCGCCTTTCGGGCAGGTGTGAGGTGATATCTCGTTAGTGGTTTTAATGTGCATCTCTCTGATGATCAGTGACATTGAGCATCTTTTCCTGTGTCGACTGGCCATCTGTGTGTCTCTAGAGAAGTGTCCAATAGATCCTCTGCCTTTTTTTAGATTCGATTGTTTTGTTTTTGTTTCTGTTTCTGTTTTTATGGTGGTGAGTTGTATGATTCCCTATAAATTTGGATATCAGCCCGTCATATGATGTACCATTGGCAAATATCTTCTTCTACTCAGTAAGTTGTCTTTTTGTTTTGTTAACAGTTTCTCTTGCTATGCAAACACTTTTTAGTTTGACATAGTCCCATTTGCTTATTTTTTGTTTTCCTCAAAACAGCAATTTTGGGGGAGTTTAATCCAGCAGTTGTCAAATCTCAACCTGCTTCAGAGTTGCTTGGGAGTTCCTTAGAACCCAGATTCCGGCCCCCACCCCGCCCCAGTCTGACTCCGCAGCTCCGGGCTGGGGTCTGGGAGTCATGGCGCCAGCTGCCACTGGCTCAGGGGCCACACTGATTGGTGCCATTGAAACCCAGTGTTCCGGGGAAAGTAGCGTAATAACTGGAATCAGACAGATCTAATTTCCAGTCCCAGTTCCTTTGCCATTCGCATGACCTTGAACCAATTACTGCTCTCTGGTTGGCTGGGTTCTCTCACTTTACATGAAAGAGAAATGGTAGGTACCTTATAGGGCGGCTGGGAGGAGCGACCGTGACAGTGTGCATGAAGGCACGGCGTGCATCTGGCACCGAAGCTCCTGGGCCTCTTGTCCTTTCCCCTCCCTCTCACCCTCCTCTGCACCGGGAGTCAGGCCCCGGGCGTTGGGGAATCCAGAGCTGGCACAAATGGCACCCACCCTGCCACTGTCTCTGTGGCGCAGGGCCTGGCACGTGGGGCTCAGCACAGGAGGGTGCAGGGGCTGAAGAGAAACAGGCTGTGGGGCTGTGGCCCAGCTGACAGCATTTCTGTGGCCAAGGCCTGGCAGGCATCTACCCTGGCCCTGCCGACCCCAGCTCCTCCCCTTCTCTGGTGGGGTGGGGTCGGTCCTACCAGCAGTGCTGTGCCCAGCTGCCCCCTGCGGCGTCAGGCGCTGCCCTGGGCACCAGGGGGTGGGAAGACACACGTCCCCACATTCCACAAAGGCCTGTAGAATCCTTGGGCTGCTGGGTCAGCACTACTCAGATGTCGCTGAGCTCCAGCTGGGGGCAGGAGCAGATTGGGGGTGGGGGCTGTCACCTTAACTAAGGGGACCCTGGAATGAGTTGTCAAGCCCCCAGGTACAGCCAGACAGGAGAGCCCAGGATGACTGTCCCTGGGGGGAGGTCTCGGGAGGGGAGAGAGAGAGGGAAGGTGCCTGGGGCAAGACTCTGGGGCAGAACTCTGGGGCAGGATTAGCGTGCGGGTAGCACCCCTGTGTAGCAGTGTGTAAATGTAAGTTTAAGGACCTCAGCGTGACTGAGAGGGCCTGCTGGGGGTTCTGTCTGTGTGCGTGCGAACTCAAAACCATTGGAAGCCCCTGCTTTGCCGCCACTAACTGGGAAACCTTGAGCCAGTTATTAACCTACCTGGGACTCAGTTTTTCTCATCTGGAAAATGGGGGTGCTAATGGTAGTGACCCACTTAACTGGGTGATCCTGAGGATTACATGACTTAGCAAAGCACTCAGCCCTCGAGGGCAGGGGGAGTTCAAATGTCACAGGCATGTGTGGTGGAGCTACCCTCCACGGGCACCACGTTCCCGAACAGCGGGCTCCTGCCGGCCACCTTTGTTTGCGTTATCCTCAATGCTGCCAACAGCCCTGCCAGGCAGGCAACGTGGGCTCTGTGCTCCGCCGAGGGGACACTGCCCGCACCACACAGCGAGTGAGCATCCGAGCCTGGGCTGGAACCCGGGACGAGGCAACTCGAGTGGCATCAGTACAGCAGCGGCGGTGATAACGGCAACACCCGCGCCAGCGAGGAGGGTGACCGCTGACCTCTGCTCACAGTTACCCAGCACACTGAACGCTCTCCGTGTACACGTTTCTACTTTGTAGACGAGGAAGCAAAGGCTCAGGGAAGTCGATTAGTGATCTATGAACCGAAGCCATCTGACCTGAGTCTGGGCCCACTGCCCTGCGCTGCCTCTGTGTGGGTGCCACACACACACACACACACTCACACACACACACACACTCCACGCGGACACCCTTTTCTGGCCCAGCTCCGTGGCTCTCCCACTTTGCTCAGAGGGAGTGGAGCGGCCGGGGGAGGTGGCACTGTCAGCTCCTTGGGCACAGTCCCCGCCCTCCAGGCTCATGGGAGCAGGTGTGTGCAGAGGGCACAGGGGCACCCTGCCAGGGAGTGTGGGGACCCGTGTCCCCTGCGTCCATGGCACTTGGGCACTTCCTCTGGGTTCCCATGAAGAAGAGGAAGTGACTAGCTCATGGATAACCCACCCCTCACAGCCCCCAGAGGGACATGAGGTCCACCCCCGCTCCGGCAGCCCCCGCCCCCGCCTTGCCTGAGGAGGCTATTTCTGTCCCAGGCAGGAGCCGTGTGCAAACCCTGCTGACCCAGAGAGCAGCTAATTCCCATCTCAGATGTGTTTCTGGCAACTGGACGCCTGCCCCCAAGGGAGGAAAGGAAAAGTCGATACGTTTTGGTGAGGGGTGAAGGCAGAAAAGTAGCCAGGGGCATGGAGATGGGGTGGAATCCCCGGCCAGCATATTCCCCCAAAGAGAGAATATATACAGTACACAACACATGTATTTTGAAGATACTGTGTTAACATGATAGTTAAGATAACGACAGAAAGACCTTGGAGCACAGTGGTGAAAGTCATGGCCAGAGGCACGTGGGGAAGAAGGGCAAGGGCGGCTGATCACAGGTGCAGGCTCCCAGCCCTGCCCCCCCAAGGCCCCCAGAGAAAGAACCTGGCCCTGTCTTCCAAAATCTCACATGGAAAAGCCAGCATGTTCTGAGAGCCTACTGTGTGCTCACAACAATGTGAAGAAGTAGGAACCAGAATCATCCCCATTACACAGATGAGAAAACTGAGGCACAGAGCAGTGGTATGACTGCCCTGAAACACGCCATCTGTACTGCTGTGCACACCCACTGCTTTATATCTGTCCGACCAAATGTCCATCTCCCCCAGGCTGGAACTCCCTGAGGTTACTTGCTCTTGTGAGCACTGGGAGGAGCTCAGTAAATGTCAATCCACTGGAAAATAAAGTTGACAGAGGGCAGGGGGTAGACCAGTCGCCTCGTAAGTCCCTTTCAGCAGGGCTGTGGGAAGAAAACCAGGGGGAGCAGGAAACCCCATGCGAGGAAAGGGTCAAATGTCCCTTCCAGGGCAGTAGGGGACACGCATCTGAGCACTGGGAGCACAGGGTCTGCAAAAGTCCACTTACCAGACCGGAAAAGACAGCTCAAAAGATTTAGGTCCCCAGTTAGTCCTGGGAGCTCAGAGGCACGCACTCTGCCTTTTGTTCTGCACCCCCAGCCACGGAGGTGGACAGCAGCATCATGGAGAGTCCCTGTCACCCAGTGGGCCTCCCCAAGCCCTCACAATCCTCTCCTGTGCCCAAGCCTCAGTTTCCTTATCTGCAAAGTGGGGATGGTAGTAACATTTCTCACCTCCATGAGGATTCCACTAGGCGATATCCTTTTAAATGTTCAGCACGGGGTGGCTCTGACCTGGAGGCCTGTTGACTCCCATGCTGGCTGAAGGTGGCACCCTCAGGGGCCCAGAGGCTGAGCTGAGGCTCCCCCAACCCCTGCTCCCCAGGTCCTGAACCTCTTCTTGGCCCTGCTGCTGAGCTCCTTCAGCGCCGACAGCCTGGCAGCCTCGGACGAGGACGGTGAGATGAACAACCTGCAGATCGCCATCGGGCGCATCAAGTGGGGCATCAGCTTCGCCAAAACCTTCCTGCTGGGGCTGCTGCACGGCAAGGTCCTGAGCCCCAAGGACATTGTGCTCAGCATTGGGAAGCTCGGGGAGGCGGGGGAGGCTGGGGAGGCCGAGGAGGGTGCTCCTGAGGAAGAGAAGAAGGAACTGCCACCCAAGGAAGATGACAAGGACTTGAAGGACAGTCACATCCTGAACCACGTGGGCCTGGCTGATGGGCCTTCCCCCGGCATTGAGCTGGACCACCTCAACTTCATCAACAACCCCTACCTGACCATCCACGTGCCCATCGCCTCCGAGGAGTCCGACCTGGAGATGCCGACAGAGGAGGAGACCGACACCTTCTCGGAGCCCGAGGATGTCAAGGTGAGCCCATCGCACAGCCCGGCGTGGGGGGTCGGCGGTCCGATAGACACAGCTTCACATGTTTATGTGACCTTAGGCGAGCCTCAAGTCCATTTCTCCGTCTGTAAAATGGGGGTAGTGGTACCTACCTTGTGTCACTGTGGTGAGTGAGGATTAGACGAGATGATGTGTGTAACGCAGAGACCTCTCTGTAAATGGGGACTGTTATTACTATTGTTCACGCGTTTATTATGACCTGCCCTGCCTGTCCTGATACTGTAGCCTCCCCGCTTCACTCCCACCCACAACTCCACCTGGGCCCCTCTCACCAGCAGGTGGCGCTCTTGGACAGGATGGTCTTAACCTGTGACACCTCTACTCCAGGGCTGGAACCCTAGAGTCCTCCCCATAGCCCACTCTGGGCTCTTGTCATTGTTACCTATTTCTGTTTACACCCTACCTGGGGCTGGTCCCTACTTCCCAGTGTGGGCCAAAGTGCCAGGTTGGGCTGGGGACTCCGAGGAGAGGTGTGGTGGGCCAATGAGGTTGAGGACAAGAACAGAGAGCCTCAGCAGGAGCCCTGGCCTCGTGGAGGGGGCCTGCCGCTGGGCTGGAATGTACTCTCCTCCTGCCCGTCCCCTGCCAGGCTGGCTAGAGACCGGTGGTCGCCCTGAGAAGTTCGGGCTGAGGCTGGCGCCTTGCCCAGGCCTCCCGGAGAAGCCAACTCCGAGCCCCTCCTCTGCCCTCTGGCTCCGGCAGGGGAAGAACCAGCATCAGCTAGGGCCAGGCTCTCTGCCCACCTCCACCCTATCGGCTCTGGGCCCAGCTGGACACCAGAGCCCGAATGAACTTTGCTCTGAAAGTTCCTGACTCCTTATTCCCCCCGAATATGTGGCATGTTGACTTACCAGGGGGCTGAGTGCCTGCCAAGCTATAAATACCCGGGAAACTATGGCACAGACCTCGGTACAAGGAACAGGGGTGGGGGAGGGCTGGAGAACTCCCAGGGCCGCGGCTCTGGGTGTTCTCTAAAGGGAGGCGGGCACGACTCCAAGGGGGATTGTGGGAGTGGGGGCACGTGGGTGAGGCAAGCGGCTCATTGGATGCTCTGGCTGACCTAATGCCCCATGCCTCAGTTTCCCTTTCTGTCACCTGGGCACAAGGACTCCTCTGGATCTTTTTGGTCACCATTCTGGATCCAGAGCTGCCCTCCAGCTGCCCTCTCCATCTCCCGCTTCTGGGGCCTCACCCCCGGCCATGAAGGGGCCTTCTCAAGGCAGGGTGGCCCAGCCGCGTTGGGGAACCAGCCTCCCCCACCCTACTCCACTCCCATCAGGCCCCTTGGCCCCATGCTGGAGCTTCAGCTGGGAAAATGGTCCGTCCTTTCTGGATTACTCAGCTGGACAGCCCCTGCAGACAGGAAGGCTCAGGCCTGAGGGCACCACACGCTGTTATCTGGGGTTATGGCAGCCTCGGTCTGTCCTGGGCCCCAGGCATGGCCCCTCAAAAGTACCTTTAGGCGTCTGGTCCCTCTGCTGCCCTCCTCATGCCTTCCCATGCTTCCCAGAACCCCCAGCTGGCCAAGCACTGCCAGCCACCCCCAGCCTCCTTGTCCCCAGCCTTGTTCCTTCCCTGAGGCTCTCACATGTCTCCTCATGTCCTCACTGACCCTGTCCAGGCCTCAGTCCTGCCCTGCTCCAAATCTAAGTGCCCCAAGAGCAGGACCACTGCTGACTTGGTCACTGTGGCTGTCCTGCATGGGCCACAGTGCTGGCCTCATGATCCATGGTCAGATGAGTGAGTGAGTGAGTGAATGAATGAGCAGCTCTGCTCTGCCCTCTCTTTCTCCTCTCCTTGTGGTCTCCCACCCTGAGCTCCTCTGTCCCATCTGAGAGGAGGACCCAGGGGTCACATGACCCTGTGGCTCCTGCAGAAGCTGCCACGGCCCTTTGACGGGGAGTCCTCAGTCTGCAGCACAGCCGACTACAAGCCCCCTGAGGAGGACCCTGAGGAGCAGGTGGAGGAGAATGCCGAGGGGGAGCAGCCTGAGGAGTGCTTCACTGAGGGTGAGCCCGCACACGTGCATGCCCCCCTCACCTGGTGCCCACCTCCCTGCCCCAGCCCAGCAGACTCCAGCCTGTCACTCCCTCAGGGACATCTCGGGACATGCACCTCACCAAAAGCATACGGGGCCTTTCCCCCCGATGCTGCTCTGCCCTGCAGCACCAGGCAGGGGTTTCAGAGCTGGGGTGCCTCCCAGCCCCTGGCCTGAGCCTTAAGCACGTGCAGTGGGTGATGGCTGCGCCCCGGGGACTGCTGTGCGGTGTCCCCACAGAGCCCAACAGGAAGCAAGTGCTCGGGAAAGGCTGCTCCAAGGCTGTCGTCTTCCTCAGCTCTACCTTCAGGGAGAAAGGCCTGTTCAGTGCTTCAGGAGGCAGCTCTGGAGAAACACTGTTGCCCAAAGAGCCAGGGCTGTGCAGAGAGAAGGCTGCCTGGGCGAGCGGGGGGGAGAGAGGGACAGCTGATAGTTCCCGTCCCTGGGCTGGGGGCCTACATCCTGCATGTCTTTCCTCTGTGTGCTCATCCCTGGCAGCAGTTGGCACACAGGTGGAGCAGGCCTGTGGCCCTCATTTGAGGGGAGGGGCTGGCCCCACTGCCAGCCAGTGGTGGAGGACATGGGAGCCAAGTGTTGGGTCTGGGGAGCAGCGAGATCCAGGTCTGGAGGCGGCACTCCGGGAAGGTGTGGGAGCCTGCTGACAGTGCCCCTGGAGGTGGGCCCCAGGCCGTGACGTGGTTCCCCCTTTGCTCCCCCAGCTTGCGTGCAGCGCTGGCCCTGCCTCAATGTGGACATCTCCCAGGGCCGTGGGAAGATGTGGTGGACCCTCCGCAGGGCCTGCTTCAAGATCGTGGAGCACAACTGGTTTGAGACCTTCATCGTCTTCATGATCCTGCTCAGCAGCGGAGCCCTGGTAGGTACCGCCCTGGGGGACGGGCATGGGCAGGGGCAGGTGCCGGGCCCACAGCTGGCCTGCCGGGGCTCCCTCCCACGGTGTGGGAAGGACGCAGACTGGACAGTCTCCAACCCAGAGTCCTGGAGGAACTCGCCCTCGGGGAAACTCCTAGCCCCTGATGGGTCCAGGGAGTCTGGGAGAAGCCACCAGACCCGCCCCTGTGCTAGTCCCCTGGGAACCAGCAGCATCAGGCAGGGCAGGGGATGCGGCAGCTGCCCCAGCCCCCCGGGCTCTGGCCACCCGCCGTGCTGGTGCCCCCAGGCCTTTGAGGACATCTACATTGAGCAGCGGCCCACCATCCGCACCATCCTGGAGTACACCGACAAGGTCTTCACCTACATCTTCATCATCGAGATGCTGCTCAAGTGGGTGGCCTACGGCTTCAAGGTGTACTTCACCAACGCCTGGTGCTGGCTCGACTTCCTCATCGTGGACGTGAGTTCGGCCCCCGGCCCCGCAGCCAGACCTGGGGGCCGTCCTTGTGGCTGAGGACCTTAGGAAGCCCCAGCCCAAGGGGCGCACAGCAGCTCCCCAAGGCTGCGCAGTGCATCCAGACCCCCAGGCCCCCGAGTGGGCGCTCCCTCACAGAGGCTGGATCCCAGCTCCTCCAACATGCCACCCAGGAAGAAGAATAGGCTGAGGGGACCTCCCGTCTCCCGGGAGGAAGGAGAACTTTGGGGTCAAGAGGGCGAGTGGGAAGGTTACTTACCCTTCTTGCCAATGTCTGTGGAGGGTTTTGCATCCTCTTCGACTGGCACACGGGCCTCCTCTTCAACTGATGATGTCACGGAGACAGAGCCCAGGCCCCGTGGGTGTTGGGACAGTTCCCAGTGGACAGAACCGCCCATTAGGCACGGGGTCTGGGAGAGGTGCCTGAGAACGGGGAGTCTAGGGAGGCCCCCGTGGCAGTCCTGTCCCTCTAGGACTGTGCCCCTGGGATTCTTTCTCTTTGCAGGTGTCCATCATCAGCCTGGCGGCCAACTGGATGGGCTACTCGGAGCTGGGAGCCATCAAATCCCTGCGGACGCTGCGGGCCCTGCGTCCCCTGAGGGCACTGTCCCGATTCGAGGGCATGAGGGTGGGTGCTGAGGAGGGCTCTGAGTGGGACTGCGGGTTGGGGGAGCAGCCACCACAGGGCAAGGTGCAGAGGTCACATGTCTGTACTCCCGCCATCACCAGGGGAAGCAGAGGACTCGGCCCACAGCCCTGCTGAAGGCCAGGTTTGGGCACCTGAGACACCCTCGCACACAAGCCCAAGGGTCCATGCTTGCCCTCAGTCCTGCTCCTTAGCTCACCTCTGCATCCACTGGGGGGCAGCAGAGGCTGCGGCAGCTCCCAGGGGGCGTGAGGGCACCAAGGCAGAAGCAGACAGAAAGCAAGTCTGTAGATTTAAGGGTGTCCCTTTCAAGCTCAGAATGGGGCTTCCGTGGCTCAGAGACTCCAGCAAGCAGGAAGACCCATGCCTGGGGCTCTGAACCTTCTGGCCCCGGAGCTCAGGGTTGAGCCAAGTTAGGAAAGATCCCGCCAGGCCCTTGAGGGTGGAAATGACTGGCAAACACCAGGTTTGGACAAGACAAATGGGACTTCTGCAGTGAAGGGGCGTCCACTGGGAACCAGACCTGCCCCAGAGGGATGAGCCTCCCGTGAGGCGGCTGGATGCAGGCCCTCAGCCCCTCAACCCCGTGGCTCCCTCCTGGTTGAGGCCCTCCCACTCCCGGAGTGGGGGCCCTCCCCTCTGAGGGGAAATGACCGGCCCACAGCCACACAGCCGCTTGGTGCTCTGGTCAGGAAGAGAGCTGCCTGGGCATCACCCCCTCTGCCCAGAAGCCACGAAATGACGTCTCCTTGAAAAGGGACAATTCCCAGATCTGGCTCAGCCTGAAATAGCAAGGTTGGCCTGTGTGGCCCGGGCTGGTAGGGCAGAGGGCTCTGGTCCCGGAGCCCAGTGGCTTTCAAGACCCTGGTGGCTGCTTTTCTTCATCTGCGTCTGCATCTCTGCTGCTGTGAGCAGATGAGCAGGGGCCGGTCACGGAGGCTGAGTTTCCTATGGGGGCCGAGGAAAGAGTGTTTGTCTCTTGCCTGGTGACCCATGGCCAGGCTGCTTCCAGAGAAGCCCAGCAGCCCCGCTCTGGGCTGACGGCTCCAGCCAAGCAGAGAGCCCTCCCCAGCCCTGCTCTTTGCTCCCCTGCCCCCAACCAGGCAGCCCAGCAGACTTCTCCCCAGGCTGGCTCGCAGCAGCCCTCCTCCAGGAAGCCCTCCCTGAATAGCCATGCTCAGCCCTCCCTGGCCTCCTGGGTAGTGTAGGTGGGGAGCTGCCTCTCAGAGGAGACCAGGTTTCTGCCACGTGCCCGAGAGAAGATCTGGCAGTGACTCCCTCCCCGGCCCCCAGGTGGTGGTGAATGCCCTCCTGGGCGCCATCCCCTCCATCATGAACGTGCTGCTCGTCTGCCTCATCTTCTGGCTCATCTTCAGCATCATGGGTGTCAACCTGTTTGCTGGCAAGTTCTACTACTGCATCAACACCACCACCTCCGAGAGGTTTGACATCTCCGTGGTCAACAACAAGTCCCAGTGCGAGAGCCTGATGCACACGGGACAGGTCCGCTGGCTCAACGTCAAGGTCAACTATGACAACGTGGGTCTGGGCTACCTCTCCCTCCTGCAGGTGGTGAGTGTGGCCCCCTGGCCCTGCAGCGACCTGGGATGGAGGTACCCCCTGTCTTTTGTTGTGCCCGAACCCACTGCCACTCCTTGTCAAGGGGCTGCCCACCCTGCATCCGGGGCTGCAGGGCCCTCCCTGTCCCCTGTTTGATGCCTGCCCTGTGGGGCTGTGGGCAGGTAGCCTCTGGGGAGGACCAGGATGAATGACAGAGGCAGCAAGCAGCCCCTCCCCTCATGCCCAACCACACTCTCCCAGGCCACCTTCAAAGGCTGGATGGACATCATGTATGCAGCCGTGGACTCCCGGGAGGTGAGTGGGGGTCACCGAGGTGTGGCTGGTGAGCGAGCCAAGGGGGCAGCCCAGTGGTGTGTTCTGCCCATCTCCTCCCACCTCCCCATGCCACCCCCTCGGGGGCCCCTGAGACTCTGAGGGTGGATGGGTCCACCCCTGGGCCCCAGGCCCCTCTGCCCACAGGGAGACAGGGGGCATGGAGGAGCCAGTGCGTGTCCCCAAGCCCACCCAGCACACCCCATCCTGTCCTGTGGCCCTCGCAGCTGGAGCAGCAGCCGGATTATGAGGTGAACATCTACATGTACCTCTATTTCGTCATCTTCATCATCTTCGGATCCTTCTTTACCCTCAACCTCTTCATTGGCGTCATCATTGACAACTTCAACCAGCAGAAGAAGAAGATGAGTATCCAGCCCCGCCCTCCCCGGGTCCCCCGCGCCGGGCATGCCCCGCCCCTCCCCGGGCCGCAGCCCTTCGGAGTGCACAAGTGCTGCCTCGGCACCCAGCACCCGCGTGCTGTCGCTGGCGACACGGCTGAGGCAGCAAGTCTGGGTTCAGATGCCCCTGGGCATCCCTGAACTGCAGTTTTCCCATCTATAAAACAAAGGTGATGCTGCCTACCTTTCTGGGTTGTCCTAGGGACCCAATGAGATACTGATGGAAAGTGGCCCCAAACAGGCTGTGAGGCAGCATACATAGGTCCCCTTCCCGCTGCTCCCCCACCTCTCCCCGCCCTCAGCCCCCATCTCTGGCCCTGCCAGTTCCCCTCCCCTGTCCGCCCAGTCCCCCTGCCCGGGTGGGGGCTGCCTTAAGGGCAATGCCTGAGGAGGGAGGTCCTGGAGACAGAGAAGGGGGACCCCCCAACCTTATGGACCCCATCCCACTATACTTTGGAGGAAAAGACATCTTTATGACAGAGGAACAGAAGAAATACTATAACGCCATGAAGAAGCTTGGCTCCAAGAAGCCTCAGAAGCCAATCCCGCGGCCCCAGGTACCTGCCCTCTGGGCCCCTCTTCCTGCAGCCTGTGCCAGGCTTCTGCCGAAGGGGACCACAGGGCCACAGTGAAGCTGCCCGCCAGGCTGTGTCCCTGGCGTTAGTTACGCCAGGTTCGCCCGCAGGGAGGCTGGGCCCGCCGGTCTGGAGGGGGGCCTCTCTGTAACCGAGCAAGGGCACTGTATGCACAAGCAGCGGCGGCCTGCTGGACTCCAGCCACTGGCTCACCCTCGCCTGGCCCTGCACAGGCTCCCAGTGTCCACTCACGTCCTTAGGTGGCTTCTGGGGCAAGGCACCCTAGGAGGGGAAGAAAGAGGATGGCCAGACACCCTCCCCAGTGAGCAGTAGCTCGGGGAGAGGGTGAGGGGATGCCTGGGGACCTGGACAGGTGGGCAGGTGTCAGCGAGGCGGGGGGGCTGCCATAGACCCGTCGAGCGGCCTGGTCTGACGGCTCTGCCCTCGTTTCTCGGCCAACACCCCCAAGCCCTGACACACCCCCCTCCTTCTCACACTGTTGTGTCACCCCGTGTCTCCTGTCTGTCCGTGTCCTGCGTGGGCCCTGACCACGCCCCGACTGTGCGCTGACGTGCGTCCCTGCGCTCCCATCCGTGCTGCAGAACAAGATCCAGGGCATGGTGTACGACTTCGTGACGAAGCAGGTCTTCGACATCGTGATCATGATCCTCATCTGTCTCAACATGGTCACCATGATGGTGGAGACAGATGACCAGAGCCAGCTGAAGGTGGACATCCTGTACAACATCAACATGATCTTCATCATCATCTTCACGGGGGAGTGTGTGCTCAAGATGTTTGCTCTGCGCCATTACTACTTCACCATTGGCTGGAACATCTTCGACTTTGTGGTCGTCATCCTGTCTATCGTGGGTGAGCAGGGCCAGGCCAGGCTGAGTCATTCGGGAAGGCCGGTGCTCCCGTCCTCATGCACAAACACCTGCTCATGCACCTGGCGTGCTTACACACATCATCACACGTACATACATGCACGTACACCTGCCATTCCCACATCGTGCACCAAGGTAAGGACAGGTGGGCTCATGGGCAGCCTGTCACCTGCACACACGTGCATATACCTCAAGGAACATTTGCTTGACAAGTAGATGCGCACTCAGGTGTCGTGTAGTCAGTGGAGAACATTGAGAAGAGGGATCCAGTGTCCGTGCACACTGGAGAAGTACGTGGACATGCGTGTATGTAGGATAGTAACCAGCAACCATTTATTGAGCCTTTACTATGTGCCTGACACTGTGCTGTGCCCTTTACAGGCATCACCTTACTAATTGCTCATAACGATGCCTCCATTTTAGAGATGAGGAAACTGAGTACAAACATTAAGTGACATGGCAGAGTCACACACACAAAGCTGTCCTCCCTCCTTCTCTCATCTATGGCATTTGCAATCAACCTTGGGAATGGGCCTTACCTTCACCTCCTCAGCTTTGGTATATCCCACCTCCAACCAGCTGGGTTGGGGCAAAGATGTAACCCTGGCCCCAAGACCCCTGGGAGGGCCTGGCCTAGTGATGGGTGCCATCCGGGCTGTGCGCCAAGGATGGAGCCTACCAACCAGGCCAGGCCCCCTTGAGCCCCGCGTGCCCCCCACTGCCTAGCCCAGCCTCCCGCCCTGGGACAGCAGTCCTCACCACCTCCTCCCCACAGGTCTCGCGCTGTCTGACCTGATCCAGAAATACTTCGTGTCCCCAACACTATTCCGCGTGATCCGCCTGGCCCGTATCGGACGTGTCCTGCGGCTGATCCGTGGGGCCAAGGGCATTCGGACGCTGCTCTTTGCCCTCATGATGTCGCTGCCTGCCCTCTTCAACATCGGCCTCCTTCTCTTCCTGGTCATGTTCATCTACTCCATCTTCGGCATGTCCAACTTCGCCTATGTCAAGAAGGAGTCGGGTATTGATGACATGTTCAATTTTGAGACCTTTGGCAACAGCATCATCTGCCTCTTTGAGATCACCACGTCAGCTGGTTGGGACGGGCTCCTCAACCCCATCCTCAACAGCGGGCCCCCCGACTGCGACCCCACCCTGGAGAACCCGGGCAGCAGCATCAAGGGTGACTGTGGCAACCCCTCCATCGGCATCGTCTTCTTCTGCAGCTATATCATCATCTCCTTCCTCATCGTGGTCAACATGTACATCGCCATCATCCTGGAGAACTTCAACGTGGCCACCGAGGAGAGCAGCGAGCCCCTCAGCGAGGACGACTTCGAGATGTTCTATGAGACATGGGAGAAATTCGACCCCGATGCCACGCAGTTCATCGCCTACAGCCGCCTCTCTGACTTCGTGGACACACTGCAGGAGCCGCTGAAGATCGCCAAGCCCAACAAGATCAAGCTCATCACACTGGACCTGCCCATGGTGGCGGGGGACAAGATCCACTGCCTGGACATCCTCTTCGCCCTGACCAAGGAGGTCCTGGGCGACTCGGGGGAGATGGACACCCTCAAGCAGACCATGGAAGAGAAGTTCATGGCAGCCAACCCCTCCAAAGTCTCCTATGAGCCCATCACCACCACCCTCAAGAGGAAGCATGAGGAGGTGTGTGCCATCAAGATCCAGAGGGCCTACCGCCGGCACCTGCTTCAGCGCTCGGTGAAGCAGGCGTCCTACATGTATCGCCACAGCCAGGACGGTAGCGGGGACGCGGCCCCCGAGAAGGAGGGGCTGATCGCCGACACCATGAGCAAGCTGTACGGCCAGGAGACTGGGGACGGTGGTGTGCAGGACAAGGGTGAGGAGAGGGGCTCCACAGAGGACGCTGGGCCCACCGCAGGGCCCACCGCAGGGCCTGCGCCCATCAGCCCCCCAGACACTGCCCACCCTCCCTCCCCACCCCCAGGGCAAACGGTTCGCCCAGGGGTCAAAGAGTCTCTGGTGTAGCAGCAGGCGGGGTGGCCAGCAGAGGCTGGCAGAGCCCCGAAGCTTCCCGCTCACTGGCTGAGGGAGCAGGGCCTTGCGTCTGGGGCTGACCCGCCTCCCTGTCAGGGACAGGGCGTGGCCACGCTGGAGCTGACACCCAGGCCAGAGCCCTCGCGTCCCCAGGCCACGGAACACGGGAACTGTAAATCTGAGGCTCCACGCTGGGCCTGAGGCCTCTGTGGTTTTGCCTTCAAGTTGCTCTCACCTCCTCATGGACCTGCTGCCCCTCCTCTCGGCCTGGGGCTGGGGGTCGTCAGAACATCAGAACCTCTGACCCTCATTTAAGGGGCCAGCCTACAACGGAGGGAGTGGCTGCCCCCCCGTCACCAGAGTCTTAAGGGCTGCTGGCCTCTCCCCAGGAAGTGGCTCAGGCCCCCTGGGCCCACCAAAGACGTCTTAACCTCAGTGAGAGCAGACACCTGAGCCCAGGGCCTGCCAGCCCTCCGCAGCTCTGGGACGCAGCTTCCCCTGCCAGCTCAGGAACTGGTCTGACCAGCCACTGGATCCTGGTGCATCTGGCTGAGGTTGTGGTCCCTGAAACCGCTTCCCGGTGTGTCTACCGTCCAGACCTCCACTCCCTGGCTGGCCCCTGGGGGAACAGCACAAGGGAGGGTTCCACTTGGGAGTCGACTTTGTCTAGGAAGCGCAGATGGGTAGGACACGTGGCGTCCACTGGAGTATCGCCGCACTGGGGCTCTTCTTGGCCTGAGCACCCAGACCTGGGGTGGGGTCAGGGACCCCGGCACTCAGGAGAAAAAACCTTGTTCCTTCCTTCCCTTCCTTACTCCTCATCCTCCCCCCCCCATCCCCCAAAAGTGATCCTAGAATGTTCTAGTTGAGCCCATGTTAGAGATTTCACACCGGGCCGTGTCCGGCCCACCTGCCTGAGGCCCAACCTTCCAACTTCCTGCCGCCTGGAAAGCTGGGCAGCCCTTTGCTGGCACAGCCGGTCCAGGCACACGGGGCCAGGCTGCCGCTGGGCCCCGGGGAAGAGCCAGAGGCTGAACGCGGAGGAGGAGTCACCGGATCGATTCGCCAGTGTGCGTGTACTCAAGTGTGCGAACCACCGTGCCCCACGATGCCTGCCTCTGGGTGTGTGTCTGGGTATGTTTGTGTGAATGCGTGTCAGTGTGCCCGAAGTGTCTGGCTGCCGGGTGTGTGTCCTCCTGTGGAGGCCTGTCCATATGAGTGTGCCTGTGCCGCGAGTGTATGAGTGTGAACATGGGTGCTGAGGTCTCGTCCCTGCTGGTCTTAGTTCCTCTTCTTTTTCTTCTTGTTTCTCGTGAACGGTTTGATTAAAACTCAGGAAGCAGCAAAACCTCCAAAACAACACATGTGTGTGCATGCACACGCCCGTGGGCCAGAGCCCCCCTTCTGTCTGCCCCGCCCTCGGGGCCCTCACCGCCGCCCCTCCTGGTCATCCCTCTCTCAGTCCCTCGACCCCCACGACTCTCCCTTCCGCTGGCTGTTTTCGTCACACCCTTGCCCTGGCCCGGCTCCACGTCTCCTGCCTGTGTCTCCCACGGAAAGGGGCCCCACTCCACCCAGCTCTTCTTTCAGACGTTCACCCTCGGGGCGGGGGCGGCCTCCTCCCTGACCAGCTCCCTGCCCACTGCCTGCCTCTCCCCCGTGGCCCCCGGCCCGGCTTGGCCCCAAGAGCCTCCCGCTGTCGGACGGGGCACACCGTGTGCGGACTCCAGAGCCGCCCACTGGCTGTGCCCCTCCGCACCTGCAGACGCGCCCCTGTTTGCACCCTGTCCCAGAAGGAGCAGGCCAGGCCAGGCCAGTGGACCGGCCCCTTTGTACAGTTCTTACAATAAATCTCCCCTCCTGCCTCTGACACGTGCGCTTCTTCCTTCCGAGGCTCCAGTGTGGATGTCAACAGGGCCTGAGGGCCGCAGGCGTCCGGGAGGGCTGGGGGGACTGGCGCCAAGTGAGACCTGGGGGGTCTCTGTGGGGTGGGGGCATGATTAGGGGATGGCTCCAACTCCCTCCTTTGGTCCTGTATGATTCTCTCCTGCTCCTCTCCAGCAGGAGTCCAAGGGTCCAGCCGAGGTCAAGGGTCATGCCCCTCCTTCTGTAACAGGCAGCAGCACTCCCCACGCCCACCATGACAGCGCCCAGGAACTGGGTATGGGGACGCTTCGTCCCCAGCCGCTCCTCTCTGGAAGCCCCTTCACGTCTCTGCTCCCACTCCCGGGGGCCCCGGGGTGCCTGTGGAGCACACGGCGTGTCCCCTCCCTGTCCCCAGAGTTACTATCCCCCCTCCCCAGGACCCTGCCTCTGATCCCCAACCCCAGAGAGCCCAGGGTCCCCGGAGCCTGTGACCAAGAGTAATTTGTAGTGAGCTTGGTCTGTATTCCCAGTGGGAGAAATACAATTTTGTATATAATCTTGTTTTCTACAGTCTGATTTCTGCCTCCCAGGGCTGTTATTCGTCTGAACTAGTAAACACTTAGTCCTTTTCAGGATTTCCGTAACCCCCTTTTCCCTGAGCTTGGAGTGCCAAGAAAAAAAAAAAAGGCAAGCTACCGGGCCACATGGATGACGCAGGCTAGCGTGTGGGAACCAGCCCACCCCCCAGGCAGCAACGCCGCTCAACACCTTCTGGGGGGGGGGATGGGGGTGGCCGGGCTGCCTGCCTTCCAGGCTCGCAGCTGCCCTACAAAGAACACTGTTACGATGATTTCTATTTTCCATAAATGAGGAAACTGGTCTCTGAAAGGTGAAGAATGGGTTTTGCTTAACTGGGCATTTGAGGCAGAGAAGCCTGCTCTGTGAGGCGTGGTCCCTCCCCTGCAGGGCCCCGAAATGGCCCTGCCACGCTTCCAAATGCTCCCTGAAGTGGAGCGGGACCAGCCTCGTTGAGAACCACCAGGTAACTTGGGGAGGCTTTCCAGCTGGCACACAGCAGGGCCAGGATTCGAACCTGCACACTGTTAGCCAGCAAGCGTCCTCTCAGTGACAGAACAAACAGCCCAGGGACAGAAGTGTCACCTGAGGTCAGCTGGGGAAGCAAGTGGGGCCCATAACAGTGGACTGGGGGAGGGGCAGAGGTCTCAGCCCTTCTTTCCAAACCGAGGTTCTACCCTCGCTAAGAGTCCCTCTTGCTTCCCCGACCCCCTGCACCCCTGTCCCCTCTCCTGACGCCCTGTCACCTGTTTTGATGCCACCTTCCTGGTGGGTGGAGGCTGCCAGATGTTGGGACGTGCAGCCCAGGGGAGCCAGGGGCACAGGCCTCATGTTCCAGGAAAGAAAAGGCGTCACAAACCCCGCACAGAGCTGGGTGCTGTTGTCACTGGGGAGGGAACAGCGCGGCCCCAAGAGTGACAAATAACCTTGTAGGCGGTGGGCCACCCTGCCCCCACCCCCTCCTGAAAGCGGATCTCTGCCTGGCATCAATGGGAATGAGCCTGAGGGACACATCTGCGCCCCTGCCCCCCGTGGGGGTGGGGGGGGTGTTTGGAGGATAGAGGACACTAACTGCCCCCCACCAGGCTTTGTGCCCCTCATAGTCACCCTGGGCCCCAGGACCAGCTTCTGGGCAGGCCCCCTGCCACACAGTGTGGGCAACGCCCCCAGGCAAGCTCACACCCGTACACACCTGTGTGTGTGTGCCCCAAGCCCCCCCCAGTTATCCTCCCAGCTTTGGGGGACACGAGCCCCGAAGCTAACCAAGACCTCAGTCGCCAGGAGGTACTTTGCTAAAGGAAGACACCCCAGGACTTGCCCCCATCCTGCTGGGGAGGGGGTTCTCCAAACACCCCCGCCAACACCAGGGGCCTCGGTGGGTAAACTGACCTCAGGTGACGTTTACAATCCCGGGCTGTTTGTTCTGAGAACTGAACATCTGACACCTTTTCAGGGAAATGTTTTTTCATTTCCAACATCTGGAAACAGCAAGAACATCTGGGGCTGCCAGGAACAGGCCGCTCTGTGGATGAAACCTTAACCCTCCTGTCCCTGATTTTCGTAGTGCTGGCCCCCCCGCCCCGGCTCCCCAGCGGGGGGCCCCACCGTGCCAGCGAGGCCTCTGCAGGGCCGAGGCCGAGAGGGCAGCATCCAGGCCTCTGCCTTCCTCACCACCAACCCTCGCGTGGGAGGCGGGTCCACATCTCCCCAAACCCGAACAGACCCACCATCAGCACAGGCTGTTTGAAAAAATGGAGGGCAGGAGAATGACATTGAACGTCTTTCTTCCCCTCCTGAGGGGTTAGGAGAATAGAGAGAGGGTGGGGGTCAAGGGAGAGAAAAGAGGCCGCCAGGAAACCCAAGTCCTGAAGTGGGCTCAGCTGCTGGCTCGGGTGCACCAGCGGGCCAGGTTCGGCTGTGCAGGCCATGTGCCTCTCAGGGCACCCACTGCCGCCACTCAGGGCCAGAGGCAGGCCTGACCCCGCGGCACAAAGCGAAGCTGAGACAACCCCTGATCACTGGGCTCCGTCCACCACTCTGCTGACTGGCGAGATAAAGCCAGAGAGCCTTTAGTTTCGGGCCTGGAAGCTTCCCAAGCTTCGCGCCTCCAGTCTGTCCCCCACCCGAAGGTATCTGGAGCTGCGGACGACACTCCGCGCCCTGGGAGTCCCCTGCCTGCCGAGTGGCGGGTTTTCCCTGAGCCTTCTCCACCTCAGCTCCTCCCTGTCAGCAGCTCCCAGCAAAATCTCCCACCAAGGGAGGGAGGGAGGGAGGCGTCACACCAGGACCTGGACCCCATCTTCTCCCCAGCAGCAGCCGCACTCAGCCTGCTCTTGCTCAAGAACCTCCTTGACTGCCTGACCCCTTACAGGGTCAAATCTCCAGCAACCCCAACATGGCTGCCTGCACTCCAGCCAAGAGGCTGCGCTCTGGGCCCCTCCCGGTGCCTGGCCCGGGCCCACAGCTGCCCCCCGCCAGCACCCCCACACCATTCTCCATTGCAATTACAAGACCCTGTGTGTTCAGCTAAGTGCCTGGGGAATCTAGACTTCGGAATGGGAGGCTGGCGGGCCCCGGGGCAGCCGTGGGACAGAGACGCGTGGAGGAAAACACACTGTCCTGAAGACTGGGAAGCCCCAGCCCCCAGGGGTGTCCACCGTAGACCTGAGCTGTGGTGCCCAAGCTGGGGTGACTTTTGAGCTTTAACAGCACAGCTGACAAAAGAGCCCGCCCTTCCCTGGGCTCCCCAGAGAGCTGGTGCCTCCCCTGGGTCCCGATTTGCATGGCAGGAAGGGGCCTGGTGGGGAAGAGGCAGGGAGGGGACAGGCTGCAGCCCAGGCAGTTACACGTTTTCCCCCGCAGAAGCCTCCGTCGTCATCATCAGGGGCTTGGGGTCAGAGACGGAGCGGTGACCATGGCCGGGCCGGAGCTGTCCCCTGTGCCCAGCAACTGGCTGCTGGTGTTGCTGATGCTTCTCTCAGGTACAGCCCCCGTTGACCAGGCCTGCTGGTTTTACTCTGTCTCTGTTTCCACCGGTGCCGTCCCTGCTCTCTGCACCCTCCTGTCCCTCTCACTTTCTGCCTCCCACCTCCTCTGACTGCTGCCCTGGGGCGTGGGTCTGTGGGGACCAGCCAGGCCAACCAGCCCAGGGGTCTGCGGCGCCAGCCCCTCTCCGGCCTGCAGGTGTGCGGCGGAGCTAGGCCTGTGGGGCTGGTGGTTCTGACTGCGGAAGAGCCAGACCAAGGAGGAAGAAAGGCGTGTGGTTCACCCACCGAGGGCACTACGTCGGGGGAGGCGGGGGAAGGCTGCGGCCAGTGAGACCCTGGAACATATGTATTCCAGAAATGGCCCCCCCGGACGAGGACCAGAGAGCTCTTTAGCTGTGCCTTCCCTCTGGTCTCATCCAGGTGCCTGCACAAGGCTGAAGGGGGCCGGGAGGTGGATCTCCTGGTGACCACACCCCACTCTGTCTCCCCAGAGCAGGGCTGCGGAGGGCTGAGGGGTCTAGAAGCTGCTGTCAGTGTCACTGTCTGGGAGGAGGAAGCAGGAGGTCATGGGTCTGGGAATTCAGAGGGCAGAGGGCATGCAGGGGTGGGGCAGCCAGCTTCCAGGAGAGGCCCTGACCTGGCTCCGCCCACTTCCTCCCAACCTGCAGGTGAGACGGTGTTTGCAGTCCCAATGATGGATGTCGTCCAGAATCCCGCAGGTCAGCAAGTCCCCCTGCCCCTTCTGGGGCCAAGGATGCCTGTGCCCCATGCCAGTCACTGCCCTTATGGCTGTCCCTTGAGCCCTTGTCCTCTTGGGTCTTGCCATCCAGAACTCCCATCTCTAGGCCTCCTTAGGGTCTCCCTCTCCAAGGCCTGGTTCCTAGCCCCTCGCCAAGCTCCAGCCCCACCCCCTGCCAGTTGTCACATCCATCAGACAGGAGTGTCCCAGGCCCGGTGACTGAGGGGCTGGGCTAGTCCAGCTGGAGAGTCAGACTCAGCCCCAGAAGGAGCCCATGACCTTAGGGGCTCTGAGAGCGCAGAGGGGCTCAGAGTTTCCTCGGGACCATCCGGGCGTAGTGAGGCAGGGGGGAGGCTTCTCGGAGCAAGTGGGTGGGGAACACAGGCCAAGCCGAGAAAGAAGGGTTAGGAATAAGAAGGGGAGCAGGCCCACGCAGGCAGGTAGAGGGAAGTGCTGGAGGAAGAGGGGCAGCGGAATCAGTGGGGCAGGGAGGCTCAGTTGCCAGCTAAGGGTTTGTGGGGAGCCCCTGAGGATTTCAGGCCGGTGCAGGGCAGCCCAGGGCAGCCCAGGGCAGGGAGGGGTGGGAGCACGGTACAGTGGGAGGCCGTCTGGGTGTGAGGCCTGGGTCAGGCTGTTGTAATGGGCATGGAGAAGAATCCGAAGGTTCCAGAGCCCTTCTAAAGGACAATCAAATGTCAGGAA